TCGTTACTCATCTCCCGCCCCCACCGCCAAAAACAAAAAAAGAAAAGTTATTGGTAAGCAGGAATGTGAAAAAGCAGTGATATGGGCCCTGATTGCTCCAGGGCTTGGTCTCCAGGGTAAACCAAAGACACTGGCTCTTATCTGTTTCTGCCAACATTGTTGGTCCTCTTGTAGACTATTAACCTTTCCACATCAAAGCCTTGAGAAAACATGAACTCAGAAGATTATAGTGAAAACCAAGAGGTCCATTAGGGGCTTCAGTTGGTATGAATAGTGTGGTAATCTTCCAGCAATCTCACAATCAGGCTTCTGGCCCCTGCCCCTAACGACTACAGAAAAGTGGAGCTCTGTCCTTTCTTTCATTAATTGCAACTTACTGTCTACCTTTTATAAGCCAGGAATCTAGGCCTCAGAGTATTAAATGGCAGGGCACAAGCAAAGTTTTAAAGTATAAACAGGGAATTCAGCTGACTACTTTGGATGGAAAGATGTGTTTATTCACAAATGCACTTCAATACTTTCATCCTAAAGCGGTGAAACACAAGTATGAAATATCTGCTCTAGAGGATAAGAATGGAGATTTAAAGTATAGTGTAAATAATTAATTTGGAATATAGAAGACTTTAGAATAGTGGAAAGACTATTGAAATCCACTATCTTCAAAACACAATATAGAATTAAGGAAAAGGACAGAAGAATCAGTGTTTATTAATCACACTCATGTGTGATTTAATGCTACAATAGGTACTTTATATATACTCTTTTAGTCTTCATAACAGCTTTAAGGTGACTAGGGATAGATGATAGTGATAGAGTGAGGTTCAGGAAAACTAAAAATTTATACAAGCTTACCCATTTAGCAGGTAGCAGAGTCAAGATCCAAAGTTAGGTCTGATAATATTTCCAAACATGCTTCTTCCCTTCACTTTATCTCTATGAATCTCACTTTCCTCATTTGTATAAGATTAGATTAAATCAAATCTGATCATTCTAAGCTTTTTCTGGGACTGATCACAGAATCCTTTGGATATTCAATAATATTTAGAGATTTCTTTAGAAAATTGACTTTTGCCTCCAAATGTTACATTTAGGATACAAGTTCACAGGCCCAATACCCATGCACAGCTGATTCAGGATTTTGAGTTTCCTCTACACTGACATTCTGTGAGACTCAACATCCACAGGAGCCAATACAGTACAGAGGTCAAGATCTGGATGAATCCAAATTCTGTCTCTTTGCTTCCTCTTTAAACTTGAGCAAGTTACCTAATGTTCATGGAACTCAATTTCTCCTCTGTAAAACTGGAATAACAATATTACCTACTCACAGGATTATTATTAAGATTAAATTTATTTACATCCTTTACAATGGCGCCAGGAATATATTAAAGATTCATTGATGCTTTCCTTTGAATTTTGCATTCTCTTTTTCCCCATTTGGCATAAGGGATCTCAAGGAGGCAGCTGAGTTTCTGTTTCCCCAGAGTAAGATCCTTTTACTGGCAGGAAGAACACCAGAGGCCACCATCAGGCCAAACTCCACAAACAAACATGCAAACAAGAAAGAGCCCATCTGAGCAGCGCCTAGCATTGCTCACTTAAAAGAAATTGAAGCAACGGATAATTAAACATTGCCTTCTTATTTCCCTACCAGGCCCCTGCTCAAACCATCACACACAAACACACACACCCCTCAGGCCTGAAACCAGTTCCACATTCTTATTAACAAATGAAACCATTTAAGTCCTCAGCACATCTCCAGGGACATAAATGATGAGAACTGAGAGAAACAAGAATGATTTTCCAATTTGGAAATGTGTGAAGATTACATAATATGTACCAGCACTGATGGAAGACAGGGGGTAGGGATAAAGAGTCAACTTGGTGCAAAAGGGTACATGAGTATCCCTAGTGCTTTGGTTTCTTTGCAAGGCTGAGTTGTTCCTGAAGGATTTCTAGCTCCAATGTTCCTGAGCACAATAATAAGACTTAAGTTTCTGATATGAACTCTATATTCTTCAGTTAGACTTACTCTATTATTTTTTTTATCTCAGATTGTCCCTCAATCTTAATTACCTATCACTTCCTAAATGTACATTGAAAATTGCAGAAAGGAAACCATGAGGTTGCAGTAATGTATAGGATTTTCAGAGAAAAAAATAGTCTATTTGTTCAAATCACTCCCTTAGGGGCCTGGTAATGTCATGAAATGAACCTGGAACTGGAAGATAGGTGGCCTGGGTCCTTGCCCCCACATTACCATTAGATAATTGTGCAATCATGAACAAATCACTCATCTGCTTTGACTCCCATTTTCCCCATCTGTAAGATGAGAAAGAGAAACTTAGATATCTCTCAGGTTCACTACGATATGAGTGGTCTAGGGTTCTAGTTGCCCATATGCTAAAAACTCACTGGAGTGTGGAACTGAGACTAGAACGAACAGTACAGTGGTGAACATGCTTGATGTGGAATTTGCAGCCAGAAGAACAGCTCTGCCTCTTCAGTTCTCAAACCCTGACTATCTTTACCACTCTTTTCAATTTAGAAACATTTTGGACACAGGATATGTGGGATGGGGAACACGACTCCCACCCCAATCTCTGAACTGGTAGCAAGTTGCCTGTTTTGGGGGGGTGGGCAAGGAGTGTGGTGTGAAATCGGCGTCCCAGCACTACCCTACTCTGGCTCTGGCTCTGGCTCTGTGCCCTGGGTCCTAAATGTGAACGTCTGGCTTCCCTATTGGGGAGAAAGGGTGTTTCTTCCTTTCCCAAGCACAAGCAGGTGTCACAGGCCAAGTTGGGAGATGGAGGCCAGCTGTCTCTGTGCTCTTTACACAAAGCAGCTCTCTACTTGGCTGGCTGGGTCCCTGTAACTTCAGAGCCCTGGGCTTGATTTTTAGGATAATCAAATACTTCACCTCATTCTCCTGCCTGGAAGAACATAAGGACCAGGAGGTCCCTTTAGCCATTGACACCCCCTGGAGGGAGGAAGTCCTTGTTAGCTAGACAAATAACTTCTAATGGCCCAGTATATTCTTGTACCTAGTTGTGGAGACTGAAGGCTTTCCTTTCCTGTAGATTTTCCCTTAGTTCATGATCCCAGCATCCCAGGCCCAAGTTGGAAATGAAGGGAAAGTTGACCCAAGGATGATGCAATTATTTAAGAAAGCAGCCCCTCTGGGTCTTTCACTCATCATCCTCCACCAGGCAGCCCCCCCTATACCTCTCACACACATAGAATTTCCACGTGAGGAAAGGAAAGCAAGCATTTTCACTTATGCTATGCAAGGGACAAAATGAAAGTGCCCTCAAGAATTTAACACAGCTACACAGAACATACGAGTTCTATATACTATGTGGGATGGTAAATTGGTTAAACCACTTTGGAAAGCTCTTTGGCATTATGCAAGGTCATTATGCAAGATCACATGCTACATACGACTCAGAAATTCTACTTCTAGATAGAAACCCAAGAAAACTGAGTGTATATCTCTACCACAAATTCTATATAAAAATCATGTTAGGAGCTTTATTCATAATGAGCCTAAATTATAAATATCCAAATTCCCATCCACAATACACTGGCTAAATGAATTATTCAAAGAAATATTATACAACAATGAGAATGAGCAGTCTCACAATAGCATGCAAAAATAGGATGAATATCGTGAACAAAATGTTGAGTGAAAGAAGCCAGACATAGTGTATTCATGCATCATATGATTCCATTTATCTAAAGCGCAAAACTGGTAAAACTAATCTATGTTACTAGAAAGCAGGATAAGGTTAACCTTTGAGTCAAAATTGAGGGAAGAAAAGACTAGAAAAGAGTTTGAAGAAGGTCTTGAAGCTGCTGATAAAGTTCTGTTTCTTGATCTGGGTACTATTTATTGGAGTGTATTTGGCATGTGAAATGTACCCAATTGAACACTTAAGATACATATACCTTTCTGTTTATGTTTGTGGAAGAATGAAAATAAATGACTCCAATTCTTCACCTACCCCAGAGATCAGTTCTTCACCCAGGACATATTTTGTGCTTTCCTACTCTGACTCTAGGCATGACCATGTGACTTATTTTGGCCAATGAGGTCTCAACAAAAGTGTTTTAAGCAGTGGTTTGAAAAACTTCTTGCACATTCCTGCTTGTTATTTTTGTTGTGCAATTTCCACGAAAAGATCGAGGCTAGTATTCTGCAAGATGAAGCAGATCCCAGCCAAGTTGCTCCTACTCATTAGTGCCAAAGCCATCCTAAATGAGCTTAAACCAGCCAGATGACTTCTAGATGTGCATATGAACCATGAAAGAGTAAGAAAAGAGTATTCCAACCAAGCCCAGCATAAACCATCAAACTATAAGTTCATGAGCAAAATAAGTGCTTATTTTAAGACACTGAACTATAGATGGGTTGTTAAGAAGCACTATTGTATAATAGACATATGATACAAATGAATACTTCAGGTCAAAATTTAAAAATATGTGTAATACATAATACAGACACACAAATGAATTTTATCTTAAAAGATTCCTCATACATATCTATTGGAGGATGATCACACCCTGTAAGAAAGAGACCCTTCCTGAGATCCTGCAGGTCCAATGTTCCAAAAGCATAGAAGGACACCTAAGTAAAATCTAAGCCAGAGACAAACAGAAACAACAAATAAACCAACCTGCACAAGTTCCCCAGGGTATCTAAAAATTATCTTTTTCTGTTTTTTCTAGAAGATGCAGAAGCAAAATGTTTGCCTTTTCCACCTCCCATTTTTCAGAAATGCACGTGCTACACCCTACTCTATATATCAAAACTGTTTCATAGCATTCAACATGTGATATTATGGTAAGAGAAAGAGTATTATATTCTGTTTCTTATTGGTCCATGTTTCACCATACAGTCGCTTTTTGACTCCCTTGGCAGGACTTTCCCAAGATGAACATTAATGGACTTGACCATTCAACTGGTATTCTAGCATATAGCTGGGCAGTGATTGTGTTACCTGGATTAACCTGAGCTTTTGCAGAACTCAAGATAGGCAGCAGCAGGAGCAGCACCAAAGGCATTCTGGGAACCAAGATCATCTCAGAAGGTGGTGTTGGGTTCTGCAGTAAAGAAACAGAAAAAGGAGAAAAAAATTAGTGAACATAATTATCATAGCTAATTTTGTGTTCTTGCAGTGTCTATTTCTATATTTAGAACTTCAAATTATAGACTTATGAGTTGAATCCAACTAATCATCAAGTAATCACCTAATATAAAAATTTTCAAATTCCAAATGATCATACACTTACAGAATTAAAATTGGCAAAACTATGGTCAGGTGATAACATTTTACTAAGATAAGTGCAAATAATAAAATAAAACATATTTCTGGGGTTGTCAACTGATGTTTTCATAATTTCAATGTTGATTCCAATATTAAACAAGGAGAAACATTCAATAATTTTCATGTGTTTGCCTTTCAAAATGTGTAAGTTCCTGATTCATTAGCTCAGAAGTGTTAACTGGGATTGTATTTTTCTAGTTTCCTCAGAATGACCATGTGATAATGGATTAGATATGGAGATACCAGTACAAACTCAGGTTTAAAGAGATACAGATAGTTACATATGGAAATATTTATAGGTATTTGTGTATACACAAGTTAATGTGTGTGTATGCATATATATATATATATATATATATATATATATATATATATATACATACATACATACATACATATACACTGCCTGCTCTATTAGCTGAGAGGAACTAAAGTAAACTACATCCTAGTAATGAGTATCCAGGAAACAACAAGCAAATCTAGTGCTTAAATCTTTGTTTCTGATACCATTATCCAATAAAAGGAATCAGTGTTCCTTAGAAAAATGGCTGATCCTAGAACTAGGACAGGAATTAGTCAAGATAACCTGGAGTATCTCTTATCTCTTAGTGCTAGAAATTGAGAAAGTACACACCAAAAAAAATGATTAAAGTATATCAAAGAGTCAGAAGCCAAATGAAAGATTTCCCAATAGTCCAGTTGGAATAAAAATAAATATCCATGAGTTAATGGTGATGTAAATAAATGATTAAATAAGCAAATGTGGGAGAATTTGCATTTCCCATGAAAAAGAATTCCAAACAATTTATATAGTTAATCTACATTTAAGGAGTGGAGCATAGCTACGTCCTCTCCTTTGAATGTAAGCTGCAGATGGATACTTTCTTCCAAAGGGCGCAAGGTGGAAAAAAGAATAACTTTTCAGTGTATAAATCTAACAAACATTACTTCAAGCCAGGTGTTCAGAGTCAATATCAACAATGGTGAGTCATATTGGTAGTATGTGTTCTTGACATGATATGACAAGAATGGCACTTTACTCTGTGTTCTTCCTCCCTAGAGACCATTACCACAGTCTATGCATGAGAAAAACATTAGACAAATCCCAAATGAGGGATATTCTACAAAATTCCTGATGAGTAATCCTCAAAACTGTCAAGGTCATCAAAAGCAAGAAAGTCTGAGAAACTTTTACAGCTAAGGGAGGCTGAGGAGATGAGATTAAATGTAATGTAATGCAATATGTGATATCCTGGATGGAATCCCAGAACAGAGAAAAGACATTAGGAAAAACTGAGGAATTGGAATAAGTTATGGACATTAGTTAACAATAAAGTATCCACATCAAATCACTCATTTTTGACAAATGTATTATACTAATATAAGATGTTAATGATGGAGAAAGCTGAATGTGGGGTATACAGGAATTCTGTGTACTATCTTTACAATGATAAATATATAACTGCTCTCAAATAAAAGGCTTATTTTTTAAAAAATTATCCCCTAAGTAACACTGATATTCAACCATACATTGGATTCACTATTAGAAATAGAAGGCACAACAAAATTGTAAAGGTTTCAGAAATCCCTTTGAACTGAACTGATTAGGGAAGATTTCATGGAGAAATCAGTAACTGAAGGACAGGTTGGATTATAATGGGGATTAAGTAAAAAAGAAAATGGAATAGATAAGGATAAGTTATGTTTTCAGCCTACAGAATTTTTCTATGATGATTTCTAGACAATAGAATTTGATGACCCACCCAAAGTAGTAAATTAAAAACAAATTTAAAAAGTCAGATATTCAAATGATTTTGTCTGAAAACAATGGTGCCAAAGCAAATGGAACTCAGAAGATGAATGTGGCCCTGGTATGGGACAGGGAATAAGTGGTCCACAGACCATAAAGACTAATAAACAGGGTTTCATTTCATTGATTTGGATGTAATAAATAGGTGATTCAGTGTGCCTTGCCACTTCCAACAACAGGAATGCTATTTCCATAAATGTGTCCCCAAATATGCCCAGAAAAGAAAATACATAGGCAGGTCTAGTAGACATTGATCTGGGCTATAATCTAGCACTAGCTCAGGACCATGATATAGGATGTTCTTCCATAAAGTCCCAAGCTCATGTAAGTAGTCTTTCAGTTAGTGCTGAGTCTCAGAACTGCCTTGTCTAACCATATTCTTTTGCAGAAGAGTCCTACAATTCTCTACAATTCAGTAAATTAAAACATTAAAAAAGGTATCAGGGAAGAATGGAGAGAGATTGATCAATGGGTACAAAGTTACAGGAAGATAGAAGCAAGAAGCTCTAGTGTGCTATTGCATATTGGCTGATAGGCTACAATAATGTACTGTACATTTCAATAAGCTAGAAAAAAAGAATTTTGAAGTTTTTCCCCATAAAGAAATGGCAAATGTTTGAGGACATAGAAAATTGTCCTATTAATATGTACAATTTTCATGATTTTTTTCTGTGTCAGTTTAATATAAATGAAACAAAAATGAAAAAAAAATATTTTAAAATGTGAAAAAAGAAAGGTATATGTGTAACAAAGAAAAGAAAATTGAGAAATGTGATAGAGTGAATGAGAGCTGTTCCAAGGTGGCCAGCAAAGGTCTCTCTGGGTATGTGACTGACTCAGAAGTAGTTGAGCAGAACAAAGAAGAGAATAGGAAACCCAGAAAAACTTCATGAATAAATGAGAATTTATTATAGAATAAAAGGGATAATTAAAATCAGTGAAATTTTAGAGGATTTATTAGGCTTTTTAAAAGCAAATAAAGGTACATCAGCCCACACACAAAAACAGAGTCCAAAATGTAAAAATAGTACTACAAAAGTATTTCAATAAAACATGGTAGAATTTGCAATAAACTAAAAATTTTAAAAAGACCTGCATGAATAAGACATTGAATGCAAACTTCATAAATGAAAAGAAGAATAATTTTTCCATCAAAATTTGAAACTTCATTGAGACAAAAAGACATCATAATTTATCATACAAGCAACAAACAACATTAAATATTTGAAATTGTATAACAAAATAGTTTCTTACATAAATGATCTCTATAAATAATTTTAAGAGCCACCAGAAAATGAGCCAAATAAACAAAAAACATTTTTACCAAAGGAGACAATATAATGCAGTAAATACCTAAAAGTGTTCAATCTCCCTAGCAGTCAGAAAAACAACCATTAAAGCATGAATTAAATACCAGTCTTGACCATCAGATTGGCAGTTTCAAGTATAATATCTCACATTATTGAAAATTGTCAATAATGTGGGGAAGTGCATACTTCTATGTTCTGCCACTGGGTATATAGACAATAATTTAAATAAAATGCATAAACATATCATCTATACACACTATTTATTATTGCTTAACCTAGAGAAAGACTCTGTGTACACAATGAGGCATGTACAAAGAAGTGTTTTGTCACTTTTTTAAATAACAAAAATGGGGAAAATGCCTATTAATAATAGAATGCTATAAACTATGATATATTCCCACTGTTAAATACTATGGAATAATGAAAAAGAATGGATTAGAGCTGTATGTGGTTTCATGGTTTGACATCCATGACATATTTTAGGTGAACAAGCAGAATGCAAGTTTTATGTAAAATACTTTTTTATGTATTTTTATGAATACACACACACAATTATATGTACTTAGAAGATATGAAAATTAAACACCATGCTGAAAGCAATGGTTCCCTCAGAAATGTAGTTGTGAAATGAACTGCAGCATTTGGCACCGGAGATGGTGAATGGTAATCAGAAGAGATCAGTCTTATTTGTAATGTTTTGATTTTTAACAAGGAAAATGCAATTCTTGTTTAGTATCATTTATATCAGTTTTTCTGACAAAAATAAGAAAGAATTATTCCTGGGAGCAGGCTATCATAATCTCAAGAGTGCTTTCCAAACAACTCTGTATATTGCAGAGTTGAAGGAGGTATTGTGGTGGGGGAACATACACCTTAAGTCATTTGTAGTATGGAGAGGTGGGTATTAATTAATACATCTAGCATGTGGATAGACTGAAAGCATAAAACAGTTGAGATGACTGATTATGTCTTTCTATTTTAGAATGCTTTGCACTTATTAGGTAAATTAAACTGCATTATGTCATTGAGCCTCACAACTGGTAGAGAGGAATTACTATCCCTCTTTTACAAAGTAGGAAAGTAAAATCACTTCATGGACAAGTGAGGCAGTTTTGCTTGGTCTGGCTGCTGTTTCCTATTCATTGTGCTGACTATAGTTAGCTTCTTCACTATAGAAAAGCCAGACTATGAGTTATTTAAAATCAGGGATCTAGCTTATCTCTATATCAAAATGAGATTAATTTTTATTTGCCCGGGGTCATAAAGCTAGAAAGAGGCCTGGTTAGCATTGATTCCAGTTCCTCTGGCCCTAAGGTCAGTTTTTCTACTTCCACAAAATTTCCAAGGTGGCTCAGAGAGAATATGTACTTTGTAGTAAAGAACTCCCTTTCCTCTTCCATCAAAACCCTCTTCCTTTGCCAAGCTGGATGAACATTCTAAATTGACTCCAAAGGAAGCCATGGCCCAGGACCTCCCATAAACTTCACAAGATCTGATGGAAGATGGTTGACTCTTCACGTTGGGACTGCCCACGCCAGAATCTGGACAGACCATGGGTCAAAGCTGTCAGAACACAAGGAAGTAAAATGGAAGATCAGGCAAAAAAAAGTGTGGCAGCCATACCTGGAATTTAGCAGCTCTCCAGGAATGAAAGAAAC